TTTGACTAATACAGTTATTTTATCCATGAACCATTTAATTAACGACATAAGTAAGTAATTTTTGTTCCATAGCAACAAAGCATTGTGACGTGTTGTTCCCACCACATTCTCTCAACTATTTCTTCTCTCTGTGTATGGAAGGAGAGCAAGGACTCGTTTGACTTATCACAATTCAGTACACATAATGCAAAAATATGTAAACCAATGTTTCAGTGACCTACATACATGTTTGATTTTAGAACCAACCTTTTGAAATGTAGAATAAATACCGATCTCGATATATATATATATATATATTATATATATATATATATATATATATATATATATATAATATATATATATAATATGTGTATATATATATATATATATATATATATATATATATATATATTATATATATATGTATATATGTATATATATATATATATATTATATATATATATATATATATATATATATATATATATATGTATGTATGTATGAATACATATCATATATCCAAGTGTGTAATGTAGCTCAATAAACGGATAAAGCAAACAAAGGCCGCATCCGTTCACAGGGAACTTCACCTTCCAACCAAAGTGCCATAAAGAATTTTAGTGAATTCCGCAGATTCCCCTGCCTTGCAATAAGCAATAACCCTCTCCTCACCGGCCAGACAAGGAGGTTCCGACGACTGATGATGCCATCCGAACCTTTATTGGTGTGTTGTGAGAGGATCTGACCCCTTCAGGTCTCTTCCCTCTCCCCTTCTCCCCTCTCTCCCCCGAGTCTCCGGCCGACACCGTTGTCGTACCTTCGTGTATGCCGCTCTTGCATCGGGCTTTCCCGCCACAAGCCAAACTGACATACATATCATCAACGCACCATGCTCGTTTCGAGAGGCTGAATGATTGTTCGTTTAATGCGGGAGACAGAGAGAGAGATTGCACGCGTGTTTGAGTGCGTATGTGTGCTGGCGACCAGGTTCTTTCACATAAGCACTTCGGTATATTTGCACGTTTAATCTGTCTGTCCGCGTGCTTTTCTGTGGTGAGCGTGACATAAGCGCACTTTACTATCGGGAACCTATAAACATCGGCCTAAATCCAGAATTGCACAGCTTCTTTGGCTATGCATCGACGCACTAAAGCAAGAATCCCAGAGGGCAAATACCCCGACCACTAAACCTTGCAATAACATGTAAATATCGCAAGAGGAAAGGGGAATTCAGGGGGGAAAAGTGAGGATTGCCCCGTGAAAATAGTTTCCCATGGCTGGAGCTGTGGCAGCCTGAGGTTTTAGGGTTCCCGTGCAAGACATTTCCAACAGAAACACGAATAAATGGCTGTGCATGACTGTAAATCGACGTGCATGTCCGGATTCTTCTCCCGCCTGATTGGAAGGGGAGATTGGGTGAGGAATTTGTTCCACGAAGACAATGAATTAGTCACTCTTTAGACAGTCAGGAAGGTCGGGGTCATTGTACGAGGTGTAAATGGATCTCTTTCAAGTGTAATGTCATTATTACGGCTGACATGTTGCAAATCCCAAATGAAACGTTTCATTCCAACCAACTTTGATAAGAGATTATTGAAGCAGACCCAATAATTTCCTGGAATTCCTTTTGTTTCTTAGTCGTTTTGGCTTACTGTTCGAAACTGCTTTGTACAGCTTAGTGCTATTACATGGACACACTTTGGCGGCTATTGCAATAAAGGCTGGTGCAAATTCCTAGGTTTAGAGGTGTATTTAAGCAAACTGTCAAGCAGCGCTCAATTATATGGGGTTTTCAGTTCTTTGCTTAATTGACTAATACAAATCCATTAAGGAATGCGCTGCTCTTCGTGTCATCGTTTGGCACCACGTATTCTCAATGGTGATATTTTATAAGAATATCTATCGCCATCTATATCTATGTATCTATCGATATATATATATATATATATATATATATATATATATTATATATGTGTGTGTGTGTGTGTGTGTGTGTGTGTGTGTGTGTGTGTGTGTGTGTGTGTGTGTGTATGTATGTACAAACATAAATACATACATACATGTATATGTGTGTGTGTATATATATATATATATATATATATATATATATATATATATATATATATATATATATATATTAGTACGCATGTATGTATATATGTATGTA